TCATCGTCATCAGCATCATCAGCATCATCAGTATCATCAGCATCATCATCATCATCAGCATCATCATCATCATCATAATCATCAGCAGCATCATCATCATCATCAGCATCAGCATAAGCATCAGCATCAGCATCAACATCAGCATCAGCATCAGCATCAGCGTCAGCGTCAGCGTCAGCATCATCATCATCATCATCACCATCATCATCATCATCAGCATCAGCATCAGCATCAGCATCATCATCATCATCATCATCATCATCATCATCATCATCATCATCACCATCACCATCATCAGCATCATCATCAGCATCATCCTCCTGCTCCTCCTCATCCTTTTCCTCCTCCTCCTCCTCCATCTCCTCCTCCTCCTCCTCTTCTTCCTCCTTCCCTCCTCCATCTTCCTCCGGCTTTCTCGTCTTCCTCCTCCTCCCCCCGTTCCTCCCCTCCCCGCCTCCCACTCCTCACCCTCCTGCTCCTCCTCCGCCCTCGCGGACACATCCGCGGGCAAGTTGCCCGCGGCCTTCTGGTGTTGAGCCCGAGACGCCCCGGGGCCAGTTCCTGTCAAGACGGCGACGGGTTCTGCTGGAGCAGGGCCAACTCGAGGGGCCGCGGGGGGGGGGCTTACACCGTGGGGTCGGGTGCTTTCCTGGCCGGAACCTGGCCGAACGGGTAGTACGAGGCGAACGACGACGACGACGACGAAAACGACGACGACGACGACGAATACGACGGACACGACGAATACGACGAATACAACGCTGACCACCGCAACAGCGACGACCACGAGAACGCCGACGACGATCACGACGCCGAAGACCACGGCCACGATCAAGACCACCAGAGTCAGCGCGACGACGACGGCGGCGACCGACGACGAGGACGACGACGACGAGCACGGCGACGCAGAGCACGGCGCCGGGGGCGCCTCGCAGTACTCTCGGTACGCGCGCCACGAGCGCTGGATCCTCTCCGCGGCCATTTTCCGCCTGTAGGCGGTCTTCGCTGCCGCAAGTCCTCGGCCAACGGGGCAGGGGGGTCGCCGTCAGCGCCGGCGCGCTTGGGGCCATAGAGAGGAGGTTCCGTTCCTCACGTGGCCCGCTCCTTGTTGCCACACCGTGACTGCAGTGCGTCCTGGAGGCCTCCGCCATCTCCCACCACCTCCGCCCTGTCGCCCCTCCGCACGTCCGCCTCTCCCTCCTCCGAGGGAAGATACATGGCATGAGCATGAACTGTCGGAGGTCCCCGCGGATTGCTTGGATGGCGCTAGACCCCCCCCCCGTCCCTGGCGCGCGGAAGGTGCCAAGGGCGGGGCGGGAGGCGCCGCCAGGGGTCCATGGCGGATCCCAGAAATCCCGTCGGAGCGTCGAAAGCCAACGTTGATGCAATTTTTCCTCCGTCGACTCCCCCACTTCTACCTTCGGCCGCCGCCGCTGCCGCCGTGGACGCCGCCGTCGCCCGACCCGGACGCGCTCAAACCATCGGCCCCGCTGGACCCCTCACGGGGGCCCACTCCGGCCTGTCGTGGACGCACTGACCCGGGTCAATGCAAACCACGGCCAGTCAGGCCTTGCAGCATCCTGCAGGATCCTGCAGCATCCTGCTAAGCCCCTGCGCCCAAACCCGGGTCGATGCACCCCTGGCCCTGCAGGATCCTGGAAGATCCGGCACTCTGACTTGGTGGGCTTGCTTTCCACCACCACCACCACCACCACCACCATTAAGTAGGAGGGGGAGGGGGTCCTCCTCCTCCTCCTCCTCCTCCTCCTCCTCCTCCAACTCCTCCTCCTCCTCCTCCTCCTCCTCCTCCTCCTCCTCCTCCTTCTCCAGTCTCCTGAGCCCCGAACCTGCCCTGCGAGCCGCGCCCCGGCCGCGCCGACGGGGCGCCGAGGATAACAAAAAATCGACTGGGGAAGCCCCCGCGACCGGTGAGCCCACCACCGGGGGGCTGCAGCAGTCTCGGCCCGCTGCAGCAGGCTCGGCCCGCGGGCCCACAAGAACAGCGCCCATCGGTGGGAAGAACTGGGCAGAAACATGCAGTGGGAAGGCGTGGGATGATGGGCCTGCTTTCCGCCGCCACCACCACCATAAGTTGGAAGGGCGAGGGGGTCCTCTTCCTCCTCCTCCTCCCTCGTCCTCCTCCTCCTCCTTCTCCTACTCTTCCTCCTCCTTCTCCTCCTCCTCCACCCCCTCCACCTCCTTCCCCCCTCCAACTTACGGTGGTGGTCGTGGTGGAAAACCGGCCCATCATGGAAAGTAGACTGGGTTCCGTCCGCCCCATTGGGAGGACGGAAAAGGTGAAGCCACTCGATCATTGAAGCAGGAAGGCGCTGAAAGTAGATTGGAATCTGGAAATCCAGAAATACATACTGTCAACGACCGATGGGTGCAAGTGCTGCTGGCAGGTGCAAGTGGCGGGTCGCAGAACGAGGAGGCAGAATAATCGTTCGAGCAGGAGATCGGCTGACAAGATGGGTGCAACCCCTGCCTTGTAACGTGCGTCGAAGTTGCGAAAGCAAAAACTTGCAATTCGGGTAGGTTGACGTATTTTCGAGGGCGTCCAAAAGAGGGGCGTCCAAGAGGCGGGGGGGCGCAAATCATGGCTGGCCACGTGTGCGGGCCAGGGGGAGGGCCGGGACGTATTGAAACAAGAAGGGGCGCCACGAAACCTGGGGTAGTCTCATGGCCCCCGCCATGATATCCCCTCTCCCCCTCAGTCATCACCCTCCTTCTGTCGACGGTGGACAAACCTCCCTTTAGTAAACCTTCCTTTAGTGAAAACGGCCTTGGACCGAAACCGACGGAACTGGACCCGCAACAATGACTGCCAATTCGCTAATCGACGTGTCAGGGTTAGGAGGTCTATCAACCTCCGATCTTGGCCGCCCCCGACATTTTCCTTGTATTTCGATCTCTTACTCGAAACCCCTCACCCTGGGCCTCTCGATCCTCGCCGGCCCGCTTCGGCGCGGAGCCGACCCGGACACGTGCTCCGGCACGGTCGCTGCGGCCCGGGGGCCCCAGGGGCCGCGAGCGGACCCAGAGGCCGAAGGGAAGGAACGGAGCGCCGCGGCCGACAGCACACAGTTCCCGTCGTCGTCGGAGGGATGAGAGAGGAGGGGGGCGGCGGTGGGCCCATCGGGGGCACGGGTCAGTTCAGCTCAGGCCTGCGGATGGAAGGTAGCAAACCTCAAACATTCACCCAAGTCCCTCGAGCGCGCAAAGAAGCGGGCAGATGCCACGGGGGAGCCAGCGCATCAGAAGGATGAATCCCCCCCTGTGGATCGCGACGGAGTCTGACGGCCTAGACTTCGAGGATATCTACGGGGGGGGGGGGACGCACACACACACACGTACAACGCAGACGGGTACCTGCGCAAGCGCGACTACTGGTGCGTACGGGACCTAGAGTGCGTCGGCGCAGCGGCGGGGGGGCTCGGCGCCTCCGCACTCGCTCCCTGCGTCGGCCCTCCCAGGGTGCAGCCGCCCCTGCCAGTCTCACGTCGATCCCAGGTCGGCGCAGCGGAGGCTCGGGCGCACTCTTGCTGGATGATCGGCCGCCAGGGAGCAGAGTTGAGGAAGGATCAAATGCTGCGCGGTAGGAAGGATGTTTGCCGCGACCCTCCGCCTGGCGCCGACCCCATCGTCACCTGCATCAACATCACCACCCACATCATCATCATCAGCAGCATCAGCATCAGCATCAGCATCACCATCATCATCCGCAGGCTCATCATCATCTTCATCGAATAAACGTAAAAACGCAAGCAAAACGAGACATCTCGAGACATCTCGAGACATTCGAGACATCTAGAGAACATCTAGAGACGTCTAGAGACGCTCGAAAATGAGCTCTTCGAGCCACCTTCCGGAAGGTGCGGAAGGTGGAGAGCGAGGGCATCCATGCCCACCGCCCGCCGAGGTCTCCGAAAATCGTACTGCAGGCGGTGGCTATGTAGAAATCCCCGCCCCGGAAGGAAGGACGGATGTCTTCGCACCACCGCCGCCGCCCAAATGACTCCGTGAGGCCACAGACCGCCCAGGCAGCCCGGAAACGTCGCACGCGATGCCGCCGGGAGCGCAGACGCCAAAAAGAGGACGGCGAGAAGGGCAAGGAAGACAGCGGAACAAAGGCAGGGGCAGGTGAGGCAAGAAATTAAGGGGCCCTGGGACACACAAATAAATGCACACAAATAACAAGATTCCCATCTCCTCCCGAATCTTCTGGGTTGTTGTCTTCCCCACACTTCCCATATTTCCCCAGATTTTTTCTAGGGAACCGACGACGAATTGTGTCTGAGTGTTGTTTCCCCTCCTGAAGAAAGGGGGGACGAGGAGGAGGGAGAAAGAGGGAGAGCGCGCGTAAGGGGGTGCCCGGCGGCCCCGATCCCCTATTTCGCGTGGCGCCCAACTCGGGGATGCGCGATGGGGGGGGTCCCGTCCTCGGCAGAGGTGCGTCCGCAGAGCCGCCTGGGGCATGCACAGTGGAGGCCCGACCACAGGAGACCCTCCACAAGAAACCCGCACCTGAGACCCCGGGACGTCCATTGATCCTTGGTGCGGGGGCGCCACGCTCTCCACAGCAGCGAGAGCGCGCTTCACGGGCGCTCGCCCAGGGAACAGTCGGCGGCGCGTCTCGGACCAGGGGGTGGGCCCCCCCACCCCCCACACTCGGCGCCGTCGATCAGAGCCAGGGGGACTCTCCTCTCCCCTAACCCCAACCCCCCCTCCCACCCGAACCCCCCCCCTCTCCCAAAGGGGGGGGGACCGAACCCCCCCCCCTCGGCGCCGGCGCTGGCGGCCGCCGCAGCGCCAACGCAGCGACGATGACCAGATAGGGCCCAGGAGAGGGGGGGGTTCAAACCCCTCCGCCCTCCCCCCCGCGCCCGCGCCGGCGCCAGCGCTGGCGGCGGCCAGCAGCGCCAACGGCGGGGACGCAGCGAGGATGCAGAGGCCGCAGAGGGAATACACAAATCGCCATATCGAGCCCTCGCACGCTCCCCAGACGCCCCCGAGACCCTTCTGACGAGATCTCAACGGCATTCATTAGGACTCTAACCTTTGCCAACACACAGTGGCGGGAAGAGCCGAAGGCCACACCACCAGCACCAACACCAGTGTCACCACCACCACCACCACCGCCACCATAGACCGCCATACCGCCACCACCACCACAGCCACCGCCACAACCACCACACCAACCACTATAACCCACCATCACCACAGCCACCACCATCACCACGAACCACCTCACCGCCACCACCATCACCACCAACAACGCAACCACCAAAAGCACCACCACAACCCACCACAACTACCACCACCACCACAAACCACCACACCATTACCACCACCATCACAACCACCGCCACAACCACCACCACCACAACAACCCACCACCAACACCACCACCACCATAAACCACCACAACACCACCACCACCACAACCACCACCACCACCACCACCACCCACCACCCACCACCCACCACCGCCACCACCACCCACCACCCACCACCCACCACCCACCACCCACCACCACCCACCCCACCACCACCCACCACCAGCACCACCAGCACCAGCAGCACCACAAACACCACAGCCCACCACCACCACCACCAACAACAACAACAACAAACCACAACACAACCACCACCACCACCGCCACCACCACGACCACCACCATCACCACCTCATCCCACCACCACCACCAAACCACAACACAACCAACACCACCACACCCACCAGCACCACCACCAGAACAGATCACCACCACCACTAACACCACCACCAGTACAACAACCCACCACCACTACCACGACCATCATCACAATCTACCACACCACCCGCCACCACCAGCGCCACAACCACCACCACAACTACTAGCAGCACAACCCACCACCACCACCACAACAACCACCACAAACCACCTCACCACCACCACCAACGCCGCTGACACCATCACCAACACCCCGCCGCCGCCGACAGCCGCCGCCGCCAGCCCGAGGAGAGGAAGAAGAGAAAAACAGAGGAGGGGGGGGGTTCAACCCCCCCCCTTCCGTCACGGGAGGGGCGGGGGGTGGGGTCGAACCCCCCCCCCCTTTCTATCCAGGGGGTGGGGGGTCGGGGGTTCGTTTCCAGCCCCCCCCCCTCCGAGCGACCACAGAACGCGCTCTTCCCCATAGCAAAACCACCGGAACCCAAGAAACCCAGGGCACTCTGGAGGCAAGCAGGGCGTCTCTTGGCATGGGTCCCCACTGCACCCCCGAGACTTCCCCTCCCTGCCCGAGCTGCCCATCTCTCGGAGGGCGGGGGGGGGGCCTCGGGGGCTGGGCCCGTCCACCTCTGGGCGTGGGAGGCTCGGGCTGGCCCGACGGGGCCTGTCGGAAGAATGACGGCGTGAGTATCGTGGAACCGATCCCCGTCCCCACCAGCGTGACCTGGGCCCCACTGGCCGATTTACCCCCCTAGATGGGGATACAGGCCGCATCCTCGGGTTTCGAGGGGTGCATCCCCAACTGGGCTGCCAATTTGGTGGGGGTCTCGAAGGGGATGGAGATGGGGATGGGGATCGGTTGAACGATACCGACGACGGCCTGGTCTGAAATTTGAAGCGTGCTCCCGCTGCAAGCATCCCACGGAAACCGAACCGTCAGAGTTCAGCACGGGCCGCCCGTCAGGAAGCGCTGGCAAGTCCGAGGTCCGGCAAGCTCGAGTTTTGCGTTCCCCCGAGCCTCCGCCCCCATCTTACATATCCTTGTCGAGGCCTCCCAAATGGGGTCCGAGTAGGTAGTGCCGGAGGATCGCGCCGCATCGCCAATATATCGCCGATGCATCGACGACGAGGGCGTGGAGCAAGGTCGGGCTCCACATCGAGTCGTTCGCCGATACATCGGCGATGCGGCGCGAACCTGGGACCACAACCAGTGATCAGGGACCGACCGTCCCGGCATTCCTGCAGGCCTACCCCGAAATGTTTTCTGAACGACAGAATGTTGTCCAAGCATGCACATGGTATTGTAACATTGAACCGATGTGCGAAAACAAAGCGATATCAGCAAGACATATTCCGAGAACCATTCGGGCAGACCACAAAACAAGGTCCTTTGAACATGCTCTGGTGGGCCTATGGGCAAGCCAGGACGCCTCGCCACTGCGTGAATCGACCCGGACTACTTAGCAAGGGGAACACGGGCCATGAACCCTAAGTAGGGGCTTACCCCTGCACCAGATCTTCACCCTGAGTCGCTCTCTGACGGTCCTAGGGGGCCCGTGGAGGGCTCCGAGAAGCCCCCCAAAACAACGAGCAACCTCGGGACCCGCTTCCCTCAGGACCCACCTCCCCCTTGACGACGGCGGACCCCACTTGGAAGCCCTGGGCTTTAGGGGAGGGGCTGAAAAGCTCACCCCAGGCCAGCGGCGCCCCGGGCGCGAGGCCCGACTCCTGAGCCCCCGACTCCTGAGCCGCCGCGGGGGGGGGAGGGGGGCTTACCATCGCTGGGACTTGCAGTCCCCGTGGACTGTCTCGCCATCGCTCGGACGTCCATTCCCCACGCACTCCTCGGTGTCGTGCGTTTCCGCACTGGTTCACAGGAGGAGCCGGGATGCTCCACGATGGTCCCCGCCGAGAAAGACACTTGTTTTGATTCGCGGGTCGAGAGCGCCCTCTTCTGGTCGAAGCTAAGCGGGCCGCGCGAAGCTTGAATTAACCAGAAATGGGGGAGGAAAAGGGGGGCGCAGCCTCAGAACGAGGCCGGGAGGAGGTACCCGCCGAAAAAAACACGCACCCCCGAGCGATGTCAAATTGTTTGGCTTCGTGCGCGTCATATTCTTACGATGGGCCAGAATGCTCTACGATGGTCCAGATGTTCTGGCGCTGGCCTCGCCGGGAAAGGCGCACACGTCTGAGCGATGCCCAGGGGAGGGGGGGGTGCCCAACCACTCTTTGCTGCTCAGGCCCCTTTGCTCGTCGTCCGCAGAAGGGCTCCAACTCCTCCTCGGCACCCTTCTCCGACTGCTACTCCCCCTCGCCATCCCTTGGTCCTCCCTCCCTCCCTCCCTCCCCCCTCCCCCTCCCCCTCCCCCTCCCTCCTCCTCCTCCTCCTCCCTCCTCCTCCTCCTCCTCCTCCTCCTCCTCCTCCTCCTCCTCCTCCTCCTCCTCCTCCTCCTCCTCCCCCCCTCCTCCTCCTCCTCCTCCTCCTCCTCCTCCTCCTCCTCCTCCTCCTCCTCCTCATTCCCTCCCTCACACCCTCTTCCCCCTCCCTCTCTGTTCCTGCTCCCCTTCTCCCCCTTTCTTTGCGGGTCGCGGGGCTGGTGCCCCCATTATTCTTCAGGGGGGGACCCTGAGCAAACGGCCAGGGAACCCACCACACCAAGGCGGCCTGGCCTCCCAGCCCAAACCCAAGAGGCACACGTAAAAAAAGAATCGCCCGCACAGCGCGCTGCCTCCAAGACCCAGCTGGCCCCCCTCCCTCCCGCCCTCACTCCCCCCTCCCTCCCTCCCCCGCCTCTCTCTCTCCATTCCCCCTCCCCTTCCTCCCTCCCCCTCCACCCCTCCACCCTGCCCCCCTCCTCCCTCCATCAACACTCCCCGAGGGGCAGCGTTAGCCCGCACGCTCCTGGGCGGGGTGGGCTATGAGACCGCTGTCGGCGACGAGGGAGCGCTTCGGGGTCGATGCATCCCCTCCCTGAGCCTGCACCCCCCCCCCGACGTTGCCCCCGACTCCTCCCCAGAGATCCGACGTCGTGATGTTTTCAATACTGTACGGGGCCCCTGGAAGGCTCGACCCATTCCCAAGGACCGGCTTTTCATCCTGGATCGTTTTTTGGCGGTCCTGGGGCCTGGTACGGGCCCCCAGAGGCCGAACTGTGCGAGAAACCTCCGTCTTGATTTTTTCAATACGTTGGATCTCTGGCCTCCATCCGGATCCATGGCGGCACCACGGGGGGGGGCGGCCGGGAGCCGCCATGTCCGCGCCGCCCTGGGCAGCGCGCGGGGGGGGGCTCCTTTGAAGTCCTGCTGCTTCGCGGCGACCAGCTTGTCCCGGTGGGCGGTCTCGCCAGCGCGTGCGTGCGGCGGTCGTGACCGCCGCCGACGGCGGCGGCGGCACGACGACGACACGTCTTCAACTCACGTGCCTCTGGGCGTTCTTTCCTCGACATCGCGGGCGCCGCGGCCGGGCGCGGCCAGAAATGCAGGCCGGGATGGACCCCGCGAGGTGTCCAGCGGGGCAGGAGAGCCCAGAATCGAACCAATAGGTCGGACCAGCGATCGACGTGAATCGGATCGGCGGAAACCGGCAGCCGAGCAGGGAGAAGTCGAATCGACAGGAATCGGCAGGCCAGGAGGCCTCCACCGAGCCTCGAGTCGAATCGCAAGCCATCGAATCGGAAGAATCGGAACGAGCCCTGCGGGGCCGATGCTCTGCGCGCGTCGCAGGTCGGACGGCGGCGGCGACAGCGCCGGCGGCGGCGGCGACCGAGGAAGACCGGGGTCGACGTGAGGAGACAAAAAGGTACGGATACCGCTACTCCCCAGACCTCTCCCGGGAAGCGTTCTGGCCAGGATTTCGAGTCGAATCCAGCGGTGGCGACGAGGGCCTCCAAGGAGGCCTGCGCCTTCTGATCTTCTGAGAAGCAGGGGTGCTTCTGAGAAGACTTCCCCCCTTCCCCCCCCCCCTCCTCCTCCTCCTCCTCCTCCTTCTCCTCCTCCTCCTCCGAAAGGGGAAAACGGGGGGTAGAGGCATGGGTACCTTGTCCTCCTCCGAAGACGGGCGGAGGGGCGGCGGGAGGAGGGCCCGGAGGAGGGGGAGGCGCCCAGGGTGCGGGCTGCAGGCAAGCCACGCGGCGAGGTGGAGCGCCAAGTGAGCCCCGGGTGCACGCCAGGGATTCAGCGCTACAGGGCGTCTCTCGCCTTCGTTGTGCTGTCATTGTGCCTCGGTCTGTCTTCGTTCCGCCTCTGCCGCGAAAGCAGGGCACAGCGTGTCGCCGGAGCCGCCGTGGCGGCCTGCTAAGCAAACGCTCCTGACCGTGTAAGTCACGCAAGCAGCAACTTGACGAGGAGGGACGACGATCCAGTATTCGGACGTTCGCGGCTCCTGCCGCGAAAGTAATAGAGGCCTCCTAGATGGGCTCCGAGTAGATGGGGTCGCAGGATGACGCCGCATCGCCGATGCATCGTCGACGTCGGCGATGCATCGGCGACGTCGACGTGGAGCAAATCGGGCTCCACATCGAGCCGCAACGGAGACGCATCGGCGATGCGGCGCGCTCCTCCGACCCCGTCTACTCCGACCCCATCTGGGAGGCCTAGAGAGAGAGGAGATCCAAACGACAACGAATTTGCAAAAAGCACCGCTGCGCTCGCGCCCGGGTGCTCCGAGGAGCAGGGGACCCACCCGGGCCCCCGACGTCGTGCCTTTTTGTGACGGCGTGGACCCCTGTGGAGTCCCGAAGCGGTGTGCGGTGACAGACCGCGCGGTGCCCTCGAAATCCCTCAGGACCTCGCAACGGTTTTGGGACCTCGGATGCCCCAGTCGCCCGAGACGTCCTCGGGGAACGACCCGAGTCCCAAAACCGTGCGGGTGACCCCGAATCCCCACCGACCCACCATACGGGGCGGTCGCCCCCGAACCCCCCCAAAGGTCTGGGCCCCTTCCCGTGGGCTGGCGTTTCACAGGAGAGCTCCACACAATTCGGCGGTGGGCAAACCTCCCTTTAGTAGACCTCCCCTTGGTGAAAACGGCCTGGGACCGAAACCGACGGACCTGGACCCGCAAGCATGACGGCCGCGACGCCCTCTCGCGAACCGAAAACGGCCAATTCCTGAATCGACGTGTCAGGGTGGGAGGTCGATCCACCTCCGAACAATTGCACCACCACCAGCCCTGGCCAGGCCCATCTTGGGCCGTGGACCAGTGTTCGGGCCCTCCCGGACCAGGCCTGGGGTTCTCTACACACCGACCCAGGGCCCAGGGCTGGGCCTGGCCAGGGCTGGCGGTGGTGTTGGCGCCCCTCCGATCTCGCGGGGGCCCCGGGCCATTTTTGACGGCCCCGAGGGCCCGTGAGGGCTTCCAGAGGCCGACAACTATCAGCAACCGCCCGTCGTGATTCTTTCGGCGAGGCGCGAAGGAGAAGGCCTTCTCAGAAGGTTCCGAGACCCCCTGGCTTTCTGAGAAGTTGCTCAAGCCTTCCCCGAAGACGCGGAGAACTCCTCAGAAGGCGCGAGGGCTTCCGAGAAGCCCCACCTTCAGAGAAGGCCTTCTCCTTATCACTTCCCCCCCGCGCTCGCCGCCGTCTCTTTCATCTGGGCAAGGAGCAGCGAGCCCCTCCCGATCCCGGACGCGTCCTGACCTGTCCCGGCCTCGGCAAACCCAGCCCGGCGTTGCGCGGATCGCCACTGCTGCGCGCCCGCGCCGACGCTGCAGTGCGGAGGGCAACGTGGAGGAGGCAGGATGGCGAGGAGCGGAGGGGGAGGGGGATGAAAAAGGGGAATGGGAAGGATAGGGAAGAGGGGGCGGAGGATAGGGAGGAGGAGGAGGGGGGAGAGGACCAGACGAGCTCGGGATGCATCAACGGTGCTGCCAAGCACCCTTCCGTCCCAAGCCACCTCCTCGTAAGTCGTCCCTGCAAGCAGTCCTCCATACCAAGGGAAGCGCCCCCCTCGAGAGACGGGCGCGGGCCTGCCACTCGGGCCAAGACACCGCTTTGAAGATACGCCGACCTACACACGTCTAGCCAGGAGAAGCGCCAAAAGGCAGGACCATGCTGATCAGAGAGGCGCCCTGCGAGAGTTCCGTTTGGAAAGGGCCACCCTCCGTCCACGTAACTTCTGTGCGATGTGAGCATCCAGATCAAAAAGTATCCATCGAGAGCCCCTTTTGAGAGCAAGCCGCTGAAGCGACAGCCACAAGTTGAAATGAGGGCCCGACGGGCGAAAGGAGGGGGGGTCCGTCCCCCCCGCCCGAACCAAAGGGGGGGGGGCCGGTTCCGGATCTCCCCCCCTCCAAGCGCCCACAGAACGCGCTCTTTCTCATCTCCTCGTGCACCGTTGCAGGATCAAAGGCCGAGCCCTCCCCGACGCCCCGCGCCGCCCTTCTCTGGCATTGGTCACACCATCCACTACTGCCATCGGGTCCCGCTCGATCTGGTACTCGATGCGATCCCTGGTGTGGCCCTTGGACACGTACTCGAGAATGCAAGCTCTTTGATCAGCCGTATAGTCTCGAAACCGAGTAATGACGCGGGGGCAACGATCCCTGTCTGACGACGGATGCCAAGCTACATTGCGTACGTCTATCCAATCCTCGGTAGGGTTCAAGGATTGAGTCGCCACTCTCGCCTCGCATGATCACTGACGATGCCGTGTCGAAGTAGCCAGCAAAGAAACTGTGACATTTTCTCGCCAAAGGAACCCAGTCCCAAACTAATTTCGCGCAGAGTGTCGTCGGCGCCCATGTTGTAGCTGCTGCCATAAGTGTCCGTGATCCATGGCGCCTCGTCTTCTGGGAAAGGATCAGGCACCTCGCTCCAAAGATTTGATTCATCTCGTATCTTGTCCCAAGAATTTTGGTTCCTCTTTGGGTCCTGAGCCGGAGCCAGGTGGTCGGCTTTCCCCGAGCACCTCCTTAACCTTGGCGCAACGCTTCCAAAGGTTCCGGCATGGCCTGCAGCAGCTGGCCGTCTTCTTCTTCGCTTTCAGAATCATATGCTGGTCGAGGGGCTAGAGTGGGATGCCAGCCTGCCCCCAGTGATTCATCTGGTACGCGAGGTGGCCTGGGCTCGAAAGGGGGAGTGGTGTGCCCGGTGATTGTCGGCGGTGTCTGTCCTTGTCCTCCAGACATCACCTTTACCGCTGCAAGGCCCCCTCCCGCTTTGGAGCTGGTGTCATTTTTGGTTTGGGCTCCATCTTCATCTTGCCCATGGCCTTGGCGACGTTATGAGCGCGTTTTCCTGGGGCGCTCTCGCGTGCCATCATACATCCAGCGTTGACCTGCTTCTCGCGCGAGCTGAGCGCGTCGTCGTTGCCGCAGACCTCGATTGGTGCATCTGTGACGAATGGCTGTCTACATGAGCGCGTTCGGGTCCAGATGTACCCGCGGTGTCTCCACGCCCCGTCCTAGATGGAGCGCTCGGTCAGTTCCAAAATGTCGCTGAGATCCATTGACTTGTGGAAAATACCTCTGCGACCTTCTCGCGACTCGAGCCTCGGGGAGAAGCCGAACTTGGCGGGAAACTCGAGGACGATTATGGAGCGACAGAAGGCTTTCCATTAGGTCCCTGTGGCTTCGTCTCCTCGGATCTTCCGGTGGAAGCTGCCGATGTCGGGCGTGCGTCCGAGCCGTTGAGGAGCTCCAGCTTTGGCACTTCTGGCAGTTCTGGTCGGTCGCGCTGCAGCGATTCGACTGTTTGACCTGTTGGACCTGCGCCTGGACCGTCCTGTAAGGCCAGTGTCGTGAAGCCCGCGGCGCGGTAGCGCGGCTCAATGCTGGGCGCGCACCGCGGTCGCGCGTCACGAGCGCGGGTGGAAGTGCCAGGCGCCGCGATGTCGATGAACGTGGCGATCGTCATGCATTGCCTCTCCTTGCCCGTGCAAGAGCGGCTGGACGCAGATTCCAGCGATCAGTGATTCACGCAGTTCTGTCGGGCACGTCCGAGTTCTCGATCTCGCCCCCATAGTGAGTTGCCCGAGGATTCCCCACGAAAGGCCTGACAGGAGTGTTGCTCTTATCGAAGCAGCCCTCGTCCTGGTTTAACCACGGGCGGCACAAACATCGGCCTTCGCGTCGAAACTCGCGCTCTCGCACTTCAGCTCGGCGCATGTTTCGGGATGCCTCCGCTAGTTTTTGGAGTCCCGAAACGGTGCGGTGACAGACCGTGCGGTGACCTCGAAATCCTCCAAGACCTCACCGCACGGTCCGTCAACGCACGGTTTTGGGACCTCGGATGCCCCAGTCGCCCGAGACGTCCTCGGAGAACGACCCGAGTCCCGAAACCGCGCGGTGATCCCGAATCCCAACCGACTTACCACACGGTGTGGTCACCACCCCGTTTGGGGGCCCCCGACTCCCATGGAGTGCCCACGTCTGGGGCGATCGCGCCTTCGGTGGATTCCTTGCCCTGCTGGGCACCGCAGGACCACGCGCCACCCTGCCTCCCCATTCGGGGCCATGGACATTCCTCTTCCCTGCGTCCATCATGAACAGGGTCTCCGCGCGATCTGCGTCGTCCCTGCAATGACTGGACGTGGTCCGGCCAGAAAGAGTCGCGCGACATTCGACGCCTGGATGCCCTGTTGCCTCGGCGCTGGCCAGGAGCTCGACAGAGAGGACAAAGAGGCAAAGCATCGCCCACGAAAATGTGGCGCGATGGCCCGGGCATGCCCACCCGATCTGTTGCCCCTTTGGCAAGCCCTTTGGGAGCTGGGTCTGGAGTAGGTAGGCATTCGCGCGGCATTGAGTCGTAGTCGATGACCGCCTCTTCGCCGCCGCCAGCTCTGTTTCCAGAGCCGGGTCAAGATCGGGGCCTCGCGGCAGCGGCCGATGGTCTTCTGTTTGAGGTCAGATATTCGGCAGGTCCTGGTCGCACAGCGCGTCGATCCGCGATGACAGTGAAGCTGGTTGTGCCTCGCTTAAGTTGTTCGCGTGGACCGCGGTCAAGTCCAGCAATATTGCAAACTCCGTTGGATCCTCGAAACGGCCGTCGCCCCGTGCAAGTCTGGGATCACCTGCGTAGCCAGGGGCCTGCAGGACATGAGTAAAACTCTCGAGCGCCTCGTCAGCAATGTCCACGTTACTGTGACTGTCAGACCGACCACTGGCGACGACGGAGAGGCGAGGAGGGCGACGACCCTCAAGATCTATTATCAGGGCGCGTGCTGACCCGAACTTCGAGGCAGACCCATCCGTGGCAGCGACAGCGCCGGCGGCGGCGACGATGACGGCGACGGCGGCGGCGGCGACGACGCCGCCGGCGGCGGCGGCGGACGGTCGGACGGACCGACAAAGACCGCGGCAGCGGCGGCGAAGACGACGGCGACCGGCGCCCCGCAGCAGCGGCGGCGTCGCGGCGGCGGCGGCTAGACGCTGGCGCCTCCACGGAGCCGCCGAGCGTGCGCCGCGCGAGCTTCGCAGTCCTGGTGGACCCGGCGACCTGCCCCGCGCGCCGCCCCGGCACCGCGCCGCCGTGGACCAGCGGCCCGTCGGCCGGTCAGACGTCGGTCGGTCGATCGGTCGTCGCAGTCGACCCCGCGGCCCGTCGTCGGTCGTCCGTCGGTCGTCGTCGGGCGTCGTCGCCATCGTCATCGTCGGTGCTCGTCGCCGTCGGCCGTCGTTTTCGTCGTGGTCGTGGTCGTCGTCGTTGGCGTCGTCGTCGGGCAACGGTCGCCGTCTGCCGTCGGCAGTCCGTCGTCTGGCGTCGATCGTCGTCGGTCGTAATCCGTCGGTCGCCAGTTGTGGAACGTCGCCGTCGTCGCCGTCAATCGTCATCGTCGTCCGTCGTCGCTGTCGTAGTCAGTTGTCGGCCGTTGTTCGGCACAGGCCGCAGGTCGTGGGTCGTCGATCGTCTGCTACCCAAGGGGGAGGAAGACGAAGCGCAGCAGCAGCAGTGAGGAGGCACAGCAGGGTCAGGAGCTCCTCGTCCTCTTCCTCGTCTTCCTCGCGATTCTAATCCCTCCCCACCTCTCGCCCTCATAGCTCTTCCACATCATCCCCGTTCCTCATGCATCTCCTCATCCTCGCAACAGCACGTTCATCACCGAAGCAGTCGTCATCATCATCATCATCATCATCATCATCATCATCATCATCATCATCGCCATCATCATCATCATCATCAACACCACCACCACCATCATCATCACCATAATCATCATCAGCATCATCGTCGTCGTCGTCGTCATCACCATCATCATCACCATCATCATCAGCATCAGCATCAGCATTAGTATCATCGTCATCATCATCATCAGTAGCATGATCATCATGAACAGCACCATCGCCATGATCGTCATTACCAACAGCATTACCCCTATCGTCATCGTCATCATCGTAATCGCCATCGTCAACGTCACCATTGTCACCATCGGATTCACCATAATCATCATCGTCGTACTCACCACAACCAGCACCATCAGCATCAGCATCATCAGCATCATCATCATCATCATCATCACCACCACCACCACCATCTGTCAGTGCAGTTGTTTTCAGCAAAGACCGCGCGGCAGTCCAACTGCGGGTGCGTCCCAGGGCCCTAGGACTAGGGCCAAAACAGCGGCGGGCAGCGTGCATGCCACAAAACAAGACAAGCGTGTACAACATACACACATGGTGGCACGGGCGGCAGAGGGGCAGGGGAGTGCACTCTTCACACTGGGTGAGTACAATGCTGCCCCGATGCCGCTCCCTCTGAAAGGGCAACGCTGCACGCAATCATAATGCATATCAGCCCACGGGCCGAAACACCTCAAGCAGATGCGGCCTGAAGCTCGAAATATAAATATGAATGTCTAGATTCACCAATCCAGACTGTCAACTCAAAGATATGCATGAGACACCTCAAGCAAGGTGCGGCCTGAGGCTCAAAATATAAATACACGAATATGAATATCTGGATACACTACTCCAGACGATCAACTCAAAAGATATGCGTACCTCACCGTGGCCCTCACTAGGTCCATCAGCAGCTGCAATCAGGACCTCACGGGCTCGCAGGCCCTGGAAAAGGCGACCCGACGCTGGGCCTTCCGCTCCTTGGCTCGCTCACGCTGTCCGCGGCGCAGCCGCAGACGGTGTGCCTCCTCATCCTCTTGCTCAGCAGTAGGCACCATGCTGAACAGGCCGTGGCGGAGGAACTGCGATAGTACCTCGTTCGGCTGCACGGCTTTTGTCAACACATCCGCTAGCATGTGGCTATTAGGCAGCCACTTGAACTTGATGGCCTCCTGCTCTATGAAATCCTTGGCCACCAGCAAGTCAATGAAGGTCTGCCGAGACACCGGCATCGACCCGATCTTGGACGTGTGATCGTAGAGCGACTTCGCATCCGTCACGAGCGCCCCTGGAACCTTCAGCGCCAGCCTCCAGCCCCCTTGCAAGGGCGGCTCCCCGTACAAGATTGCCTCAATCAGCAGCCTGAGGTAAAGCTGCCGATCCAAAGCCACGGACATAGCCGCAGATTCTGCGGCCATCGTAGATCCAACAACTCGTGTAATAGTACTGCTCTGAAACTCCACTAGACAGCATACAGTTAGCTCCTTCAAAACTCGGGTGTCCGTAATCATACTCATAAACCCCATCTGGCTCTTACAGCCGGGTTCCTTCGCAAACGAAGCGCCCATAAGCGTGAGCACCTGCAAGTGCTCGATGTCCACACGGCGGATCCGGAGAGTCGCAAGACCTCTCTTGTCGTAGTCCTGAAGCCGGTCGATGATGTCATTGAGCACTCGCAGGTGCAGCAACCTCCGACCTTTCGGATCCTTCTGTGCGAGCGCCGAGACACTATACGCGAGTTGTGGCACCACGCGTGCGACAGGCCACCGCACCTTCTGGAGCAAGCTCCGGTAGTCGTGGTGCTCCTCGGGAGTCATCTCCCGCTCCTCGTTGTCACCCCTTGCAAGGGGGTGCTTCGTCAGCTTGCCGATGTACTCGTGCATGCTGATCTCGATGTGATCGGGGTGGCGCCACCACTCCTCACCGAGATAGGCGACTGCCTCCTTGTCACTGCCCTTCTTCCAGTGCTTGATGTTGAAACGACTGTTGATGTTCGCCTTCGCCTCCTGGCACTGGGGATCGTGCGGGTCTCCAAACAGCATGCCGTCATCGACGTGCAAGGTCAACATAGCGATCAACTTGTCGTTCATTCGATAGACGAAGACAGCTCGAGCACAGCGCAGCTCCACGAAACCGACCTCGTCCGTCAACACCTGGCGGGCTCGGAGATACCACAACCGAGGCGCCTCAGTCAGACCGTACGCCCCTTTCAGCAAGCGAAGCAACGCATAAGGCCGCACGGCTGGCCATCCAGCACCGTCGACGGCTGGAAGCCCGTCCTTAGGAGCCCTCACATACAGCTCCCGTTCCAGCTTCAGCCCGGACAGGAACGCAGTCGCTACGTCGAAACACTCGAATGTCCAATCCATCGCCATTGTGATAGACGCACACACCAGCACAGCCAAAGGGGAAGTAGTAGGCGAATCCGTCCTGAATAGACCAAGCTGCGGATCGAGATGGCCAGGGATGATCAAGCGAGACTTCGCCTCCAGCTCCAGCCCTCGCCCCCGGTTCGTGCGAACCGAACGCATGGGCACCGAGATGATCTTGTCCTTCGGGATGCTCTTCTCCTCCTCCTCGGTGACCAACTCGACCGTGTTGTTGGCGATCCATTGCCGCCACTCGGCGGCATCGGCCTCGTCGAACTTAGCCTTCTCGTGCTGGTTGAAGTGACGTGGGTCTAGCTCCTTCGCGTTCTGCTTCATCACGAGTGCGAACACGTCGTGCTCGTACCGGGCCTCCTGCAGCCATGCGTCATACACAGATGACACGTTGATCCATTCTTCGTAAGTCATCGGCTGTCGTACAAAACCCTCCGGAGTGTCCAAATAGTACACCCCTTGTGCGTGAGCGTCCGGCTTGTCGTGGTAGAAAAGCGTGAGACCAACCCAGCTGTCCTCCGTGCGCTCGTTGGCACGGTTCGCGCCGTCGTCCTTGTAGGCACACTGGCCCGTAGCGGAGAGCATCACCGAGAGGCGATTGCACTCCCGGTGGCGATCGTGATCATAGAGTCTCCGCCGTGGCTCTCGGTGTACACGTACTCCTCGTACGACCTTCTGAACGAGAGTGGAGACACCATCCAAGGCATTCTGGTCGAACCACTCCTGAGGCCCCGAGTGCACAACGGCGTTCATGGCCACTTCGCGGAGGGCCGGCAAACCACTCGTAGGAGCAGCCTGCAGACGCGTCTTCTTGATGCAAATCGGCACGTCATCTACCAGGAACTTCCGTTTTCGCTCAAGCTCGAAATCGTCTCTGGGAATCGGCGGCACCGAAGGGCCGCCAGAGCCCGATGCTCCCGGAGAGGCCTTCGGGTACACCTCAGAGGATATCCGCCCTGGAGGGGAACGAGAACGTTCCCTCTTCGGAGGGGGAAGCTGCGGCAGCTGCTGCTGCTCAGGCGGCTCCTCCTCCTTGGCCTGTGCCTCAATGGCGTCCAGGGCCCTCAGGTCCACACGAGGCTGCCTGGACCCCTCGAGCCCCCCATGTCGGTCACGCTCCTTCTTCAAGAACGTCTTCTTCACCTTCTGAACCTTCACCTTGGGCGTGACGTCCACGATGTCGTGGCAAGCGCGGTCATCTCGCTGCTGTGTCAGTCGCACGTCCGTCTGGATGGACTCCGCAGCTGCGGCCTCCTGGGAGGAGGCGTGCCGGAGCTGCTCACGAGCAACAAGTAGCACGTGACCACGCCAGGATACGTAGTAACGGCTGTTGGACTCCTTCGCGATCACAGTCGCAGGACCCCGCCATCTTTCAGGATCTTGCCGACGACGTCCCTTGAACGGATTCGGTGCCCAGAAATACACCCTCGATCCTGGGCACAGATCACCGACGACCGTCGGCGCCTGTCGTAGCAGCGCCCTCCGCACCTTGTCCGTCGCGTCGCGCTCCAGCAACATCATCTTTGCTGCGGTGCGGATTTGGGACGAACGCCAAGCTATGCCCTTGGCGCCGAGGACCGACATGAGAACCTCATCGTCGTCCCTGTTAGTCACCTCCGTAAAGTTCAAGATCCGCCCGAAGACAGCCTGCTCCGGGGTCAATCCATTGCGGCTGATCGTCGAGTTCTTCGCATTGATGATGGCAGCCAGGGCCACAGTAGACATCGACTTGCCCTGGACGTGGAACTCGTGCACCACCTTGCCCCAGATAGTGCCGAGCAATCCTCCGTGGCGCTCGGCCAGGCCATGCTGCCATGCTGCATGAGCTCCCGTCGTCTTCGTATTAATGCCGAACTGCTCCATCAACGCGTTGAAGTAGCCCTCGAACTCGCCGCCCTGATCGATCACGATGTTTTCTGGCACGCCGTAATGCTTGAACCACTCGTTCATGATCTGGCGTGCTACGTGCTTGGCCGTCCTATTCTTGAGAAGGCAGGCG